AAATAAAAGATTATTCAGTATACTTCTTTATGTATAATGCTTGGAGAAATGAATGTTCATATGAAAGGAGTATTTGGTTTACCTTTGATTACGATGATGCATTTCCAGGTAGTTGATGTTTAATGAAATGGATGTACCTCTGGGTAATTTTTCTTTGACCTTTTACTATCTCAAGATGCTTCAGTGCTGCAGGGCCATGATAATAGATGTTTATTTTTACTGCACACTGCTATTGATGTAGATATAGGGAATTGAATTGGTGTAGTTCTAAAATTACTTAATGGAAGAGCTGATTTATTATTTAGCTACCATTTCTCATAAAAATAGAACTCTCAATATAAAAGTGCCACCATCAGGTTTTACTTTAGCTTTCTCAACTGTTCTAGTTCAGGCCAATGAGCATTGGCTGTACATGGTTCAAACACATTAATTCTCGATTATGTTTCTAAAAGAGTATGTTTAGGAAGTGAACTCCAGAAGACACCTGGGAAAATACCCCATAACTATTTGGCATATCTCTTGAATGGACATGAACATACACAAGTACATTTTCATTCATTTTTTTAAAATAATTAAAAACAAATATAAAAAATTTCACCTTAACCACTTGAAAGTGTACTGTTCAGTAGTGTTAACGGCATGCACATTGTTATGCAACAGCTCTCTGGAAGTGTTTCATCTTGCAAAACATAAACTATTTTACAACTACTCTCCCTTTTCCCTTTCCTACTGACCCTGGTTACCACATTTTGCTTTCTAAGTATTTCACCATTTTAAACACCTCATGTAAGTGGAATCGTGCATTATTTGGGATTTTTTTTGTTACTGACTTGTTTCATTTAGTGCAACGTCCTTAATATTCATCTGTTGCAAATGACAGAATTCCTTCTTTTTTTTTTTTAAGGCTAAATAACATTCCATGTGTTAGTGGTCTTATACCCAAATTTTTAATCCATTTGGAATTTATTTTTGTGTATGGGGTTAGCAATTAATCCAACTTCATTCTTTTATGTGTGACTTTCCAATTTTCCCAGCACCGTTTATTAAAGAGACTGTCTTTTCTCCATTTTATGGTCATAGATATTTTATCATAGATTAGATGCTGGTATGTACTTGGATTTATTTCTGGGCTTTAGAGTCTGTTCCATTGATCCATGTATCTATTTTTATCTCACATTTTCCTTATTCATCTGTTGATGGGCTTTTAGGTGGTTGCTTCTGTCTCTCTCGTCTGGTTATTGTGAATAAGACTGCAGAGAAGATGACTATGCAAATATCTCTTAAAGGTACTCTTTCCAATATTTTTTGGATGTAGACCCAGAAGTAGGACTACTGGATCATATGGTAGTTCTATTTTTAAGTTTTTGGGGAACCTCCGTGCTGTTCTGCATAGCAGTGGCACAATTTTACATTCTCTCCAATAGTGCAAAAGATTCCAATTTCTTCATATCTTTACCAAATTGTTTTTTTCTGTATTTGTTTGACCTTGATAATGGCTGTCCTAACAGGTGTGAAATGATATCTTATTGTGGTTTTGATTTTCATTTCCCTAACGATTAATGATGTGAGCATCCTTTCATATGCTTCTTGGCTGTTTGTATGTCTTCTTTGGAGAAATGTCTATTCAAGTTATCTATTTTTAATAATAAGACTGGGTTGAGTTGTAGGAGTTCTTTATTCTTTTTTTACTTAACAAAAATTTTTTTCTTCTTGTTTTTTGGGAGTTTTTTATTCCTGATATTAACCCTTTATCACATATATGGTTTGCAATTATTTTCTCACATTTTTTGGTTGCTTTTTTGCTCAGTTGATTTATTTCTGCATCCATTCATTCTTATTTGCTTACTATGTGCTGAGCCCTCTTCTGGACAATATATCTACGACAAAACATTTACTGAAGAACCTCAAAGTTTAGCTGGGTAACTTGGCATTTATACTACTTTTGAAAGTGAATCATTATAATTTGTAATTTGAATTTTTATGCATGACACCTAGTTGTTTGTTTCCAAATGTACAGATAAGGTGATCATATGAATAACTTGTTGAATATGCAGTCTATATTAAACTTCGTATTCTGTCATTTTGACCTTACACTTGAACTACTTGAATATACTGTGTACTTCAGTACAATGTACTTAAGAAATTTCATGGAAAACAATAAATAAGAGAGAGATAAAGAAAGATCTGGTCTCTTTTTATAAGGACACTAATCCCAGGGTCTCCAGTCTCATGATCTCATCTAAACTTAAATGCCTCCCAAATGTTCCACCTCCAAATACTATTACATTGGGGATTAGCTCTTCAATACATGAATTTGGTGGAGTGGGAGGGAGGGGGAGACACAAATAAGTATTCATTCTACAGCAGATGAATAGGATAGGAACATGCATGAGAAGGGAGCTGAGAGAATGAATGAACCAAATTTGGGTTAAGAGACTAAAACAGAATTAGTGTCCAGTTTGATGCTATTATATGTGGGTATGAAAGACGGGAGAGTGAAATGAGGCTAGAATTGTAGAATAGAGTCAGATAATGGAAAGCCTTTAATATTCCAATGAGTAGTTCATTCTGTGGGCTATTGCAGGTTCTTGAGTAAAGGTCATGAACTGAGATGTGCCTGAACATGATGTTATGGATAAATAATAGGGCAGATGGTGAGGAGAAGGCCTGGGGTTTGGGAGCTCAGTTAGAGGGTGACAGTAGTCACTTAGAGGAGAGGAGCTAAATGGGACAAAGCCAGCTTGGATGGAGAGGAACTGCCGTGATGTCAGGGGAAGACACCCAATAGTGCGTAGAATATAATGGGTATTAATACTTGTTAATATAGTGGATAAATGGTTATCTAAAAGTTGCCTCAATGAAGATATCTGCTCACCAGGACAGATGAGACTTCGGGTGTTGCATGAAGTAGACGCGCAGGCAGGGCAGCTGGCAGTTACTCAGAATGTGGTCCATGGACTTGTGCTATGTAAATGGACTGTAATAAGAATAGAAACTGAGAGTAAGTGCTTAGAAATAACTACAGCAATTTGGCAGAGTACTTTTATGTATTCTCTCTTAATATTAAAAAATTGAGTCTTGTATTTTACTAAGTTTTTGACATTGTATTTTTCTAGTGGTTGATTTTTATTGCATTTTGCAAAAATTTTGTATGCAATAAATTGAAACAACAACAACATCTGATATTTAACATCAGATTGTTTTAGAAGTCATGGTCCCAGCCTAATAGGGAGCAACAGTGAGTATGGATTCTGGGAGTGCAGCTAGTGATGGAGTAGGGGCTCCTCATAAGGGTGGCATTAGGCTGGTGCTAATCATGACCTAGAAATCCAAACCACCTAAGGGAGAACAAAAAAATTGCAGTTCTTTTTGGGGGTGGCTTGAGAAATTGGGTGAGTGATGGATGGTACCATTGTCAAAGATGGGAAAGACTGGAGAGGAAAGAGGAGAGGAATGAGTAAATGTTTATGGGTAGAAAGTCAAGAGTTTACTTCAGGCTAGTTAATTTAGACATGTTTAATGGACATGTCAAATGACAGCTGGAGTATGGGATTTTGGGGAGAAATTAGGGGCTGGGATTTGGATTTGGGAGTCATGGGTGAGGTCATCTGAGTTCAGGATGAGATCATCTGGAGACAATGCATAGATAAAGGAAGAGGAGAGGTATCCCAAGGACAATCCAGGAAGTACACTGACTTCTGAAACCCACAGAGAGGGAGGAGGAGTGTGAAGAAGGAGGGAAACAGAAAATAGTATTCAGAAGTCAAAAGAAGGAAGTGTTTTGAGAGGAGAGAGAAGAACAGTTCACCCTTCTGAGTTTAACTGAGGAAAGGCCAAAGAATTGGTCAGACTCCTTGGGTCATGTCAAGCACAGGTACAGAGTGGTGGGGCAGATGTAAGCCAAGATGGGATGGTTTGGAGAGGGACTGTGAGGTAGGGAATTTAAAATAGAACTTTTGAGAAGTTTTGCCCTAAGCAGGAGCAGACTAAAGCTAGACTCGGCATTGGAGATAATGCAACAGGTCTATGTGCTGATGGCAATGATACAGTGGAGAGGAAAAAGTTGCAGGATGGAATGGGATGAAAGGAGGAAGGAAGCTTTGAGAAGGTCAAGGATGGTTATACTCAACGCACAGAGTGGAGACCAGCCTTTGGGACTCACCAGAGCCCTCTCCCTGGTCCACAGGGCAGGCAGTGAGTGTGGGTGCCATTGAGGGTACTTCAGTAGGTTTGGGGATGGGAATAAAAGGCAACTCCTGTTTGGACAACTCCTGTACCCTTCCTTCTTTTGGCTTCACTGCTCTGAGAAATCTGAAGCAGGGATATCAGTTGAGTGAAGGTGTCAGGTGGTGTGGGAAAGGAGTAGGTTAGAGATAGTGGGAAATAGTCATTTGGAAGAGTTGGAAAGGAAACACACTAAAGAAATTTATCGGGAAGGACTTAAGAGCCATGCCACAGCCTTATTTGACATTTGTGGTGGGAATGGGATACAGGACGTGATGGGCAGAAAATCTAATTTTTAGACCTTGCTTTGGAAAGAGGTAACTCAGAAACAGATCTGGGTCAAGAGCCAGCAAGCAAGAACCATGAGTAAATTCAGCTATGAAGAAGTGAGGGTATTGGTGCAGGGCCTGTTTGGGGGAGCTCAGTAGGATTTTGGTCCTGTTTATACTTGGGAGTGTGGTGTGAGAGACACCTCCCCCCAGGCCCCCCCTCCCACTTTCGAATGTGCCATGTTCTGTCTCAAGCAACTGACAACTTTTGGAGGCCTCATTTTTCTTATGGTAAACTGTTAAAGTAATCCTAGCCCTTCATTTCCTGTTGCATTTTGGGGATTTTTAAATGAAATAACATCTGGGAGAAGGCCCAGAATGCTGCCAAACACTGTGCAATTGTTATCCTGGTCACAAAATTCAAGGGCGAGCCTGAGTTTTCATGGCCAGTATGCATGCTGCCCTTGGGCTGTGCTCAGAGCTGACTGCACCCTCAGTACGCAGCCCAATAGGACTGTGGAGCTGCTCACACCCATCATTTTCCTCAAGTCTTGTTGATGGAATCTGAAATGAAACCCACCCATCTTCGGATAAGGCACAAGTATGTTGACTTCAATATGGTCCTTTTGGGAAAGTTAATATGTTTCAAGTTTTTTGGTTTCAAAGAAAGCCTCTTAGGAGGACTAACTCAGCAGAAGGTGGGGGCTGGGGTGAGGGCGGGGGTGTCTGGTTTTACCTCTTAGGGCCATGGTGCTTCCACTGTACCTGTGGGTTGTAACGGAGACTTTGACAGGTGTTGGGAAAGGGTCAGTGCTTGCTGAGCTAGGGAGGTTTCAAAATGAGCAGGGGTCTAAAAGGCGCCATAGAGGCCGCCCTGGGGCAGACAGAGCTGCTCAGAGGGAAGGGACAGAGCAGCTTTAATGTGCTAATGAGGGGAAGCCCAGATGCCAGTGGATCAGAGGAGCCCTTTGTGATGCTGGGTTCCCAGGGATGGCTGGAGTCTCTGTCCCTATCTGTACCCTGCTGCCGGCAGGAGAAACACTGTGCCCTCAGAGAGGGGTGCCTTCCTCAACAGATACTCTTACAGGCTGCTTTGAGCACTGGTGGGCGGTGAGGGGCTGGGGAAAATCCCAGGGTGGGGTGACTGCTTGAAAATAGGAAGGCTATGAGTTGGGGGGAGGTGTATGCCCATGGATGGAAAGGGGCAGATCTGTTCTGGAGTGTGTGTGGAGTCAGAGACAGCCAGGAAAGACCATTGCAGCTTCACCAAGTTAACTACTGGCCCTCCGGTCTTGCCAAGCTCCCCCAGTGCCCTTCAAACCAGTCTAAAAGGGTGACCTGTCCTTGAAAATAGTGCAAATCAGTTTCTTTTTGACTGGTTGCATAGCAAGTCTGAAACATCACAACACCAAACATACAAAACAGCACTCAGTGAGTACAGGTATAAAATTCATTTCTGGTAACTCCAGTCAGAGTTACTGCTCCAGAATTCCTAGAGGGGAGGATTGCTCCAGAATTCCTAGAGGGGAGGGCTCAGGAGCACCAAGTAGAAGCAGGGTCAGGGAACTTGTCCGGAAGCTGAGTTTCGTAGCAAGAATTCAGTATGTACAAAGATTGTAGGTTGACTTGTACTGACCCCATCTACTGATGCACAGATTGGAAACCAAAGCACCCTAGCCATCCCTGAATGCTGCCTCTAGATTTTATCCTCATGCCCATGGTTCTTATTGTCTCTGGAAATATGAGTTCCCACATAAGACAGACAAATAAATATGATCAGACCATGGTATCGTGATCTTTTTATTGTCTCCTATTGTTCTTTTCGGAATCTTTCTGGGCATATACAAATATTCTATATGTTATACATATTTAAATATAAATATATTATCTCTCAAATAATGTATGCTAGACATATTTGCAATGAATCTTTGTCTATCCATCTACCTGGCTGTCTCTGTCTTGCTGTTTATCTCCCCCCCCCCCACACAAGCTAGTAGTTAGAGTATCATATTCTACGTGGAATGCTGTGTCTTCCGTATTTGAAGAGAGTCCTTAACTTTCCTTATCATGCTTATTTTGAGGCTCAGAGTTGCTTCAAAAAGAATGCTTATTTAAAATGTGTTTAAATTTGGAACCATACTGAATTAGTTTCACCTAAGAAAATAAAAATATTCATTGTGGAAATACTTACAAGCCAGTTGTATGTGCAAGTGTGAATGCACCTATAACAGCCACCCCATAAAGATCCCCCCTATTTCCCTGATGGTTTTACTAGAACACTTTAGCTCCAGGTGGTAATGAGTCCAGTGATTGGATTTTAAAATCTTACTCTCTTTTACCTTCTCTGATCCTAATAGTTTGTGTGATTTTAGTGCTTTTCAGGCAAAATTCTTCTTTATTAAAAAAATCCTCCTTTCCTTGATGCTTTCCATTTATTTCCTGCTCTTAATGAGATACTTGCATTTTGGAGTGACCTTCCCTCCTGATAGCTGGGTGCTTTGAGGCTGGGAAGTATAGGCAATGAGGTCCTTGCTTACTCTGGTTCTAGAAAATCGATCATTTGCAACTCTAATGCTGATAAATGGACTCATTTGTGTCCAATGCGAAGGGACCATAATTATTACCTTCCTAGCCCTAAAGTTAATTGCATCCTGAAACTATACCTTCAATGATGACAGAAGAAAAGCACCATTTAAAGCATTTATAGCCAGGGGTATCAGATTTCTCATTTAACATACCAATTTGTCAAAGAAAATGGTGATTATGAAAAGTATGAAAATGGCAGTCTATGTGCAGGGACTGCAGTTGTTGGGCTACGGGTTGGTGAACTGAGATGCAACAACAACAGAAATGCCTCAGCAGAATTGTTCTCTTGCTGTTTTCCTTTGTCACAGTTAGAAAGCAGTTCTTTGGGTTTGGTTGCTACCGGAGAAATAGGTAAAGGACAATGAACTCTTTTTTTCTACAAAACAAATTTCCACAAACTTACATACTCTACCTCAAATTCTTTCTAACAGTGGTTGGGGCAGATAAGACATATATAAGAAATAAAGGAGTTTAAAGTGACATAGAAGGAAATGGAATGCTGGAGGCGGGAGTCAGGGGGATTTGCAGGTGGAGGGAAGTGTTGTATTTCTAATATTACCATGCTATTTAATCATTAAAATAATTGACTTCATGAAGCGTGGAATGTTGATTCCTGACCCCCCTTAGGAAATTGCTAGCAAGTGAACAGGAAAATTAGAAAAGAAGACATGTGATATATCAATGAATCAAAGGCTCCTCATCCCATGTGAAAATTCCCATTTTTGGTGAATTATTAATTTTCTTTGTGAACATATCTAAGTCATAGATACCTAACTTAGACGCATCTGACATACAGAAAGTTCAAAATGCATTTTTATTGTTATCATCATCATCATCAGCATTGGCAGGTAAAAGGCCTAGAAAAAAGTAGGGAAGAAGCTGCATGAAAGCAGAGACCAAGCTAGGCGTTCTACACAACCTCCAGCAGAGCCCTTAATACTTAATACTTGTTAAATGAATCTTTGTGCTATGGTACAGCTGAAGCAATATTAGGAAAATCAAATGATGGTCCTAGGTCAAAGTAAGCAAGGAGAAGGCAGGTCACCAATTATTACTCCTGTTCATAAATATTTGCCTAAGCAATTTCTACCAATTTGAAATAAAATTTTGTTAGATTTGTTCTTTAAATACACCCTGGGAAAATTAAACAAGATGAGATTTAGAGCCTTTGTGTGTCTGCTTCAAGGAAAGCACAGTCCCAAATGCAGTTAGGAGATGCAAACACATATAAGGTTAGGTTTCTGCTCTCAAGTATGTGTTAATCTAATTAATCGGTTATTGCTTCAGTCAATCAGTTAGATTGTTTTCCTCTTCGGAACTGAAATCAGTCTCAGGGAAGGATGGGCATATTGCTTGAAGCTATCTTTGGAGCATGGGACACTGGGCATAACAACAGGTCTGGTTGCATTTTTTTACAGTGGGGAAAATTGTACCACTAGAGAGCTTTAAGCATTTAGGGCTACAGAAGAACACAGAGTGTGATTAAGAACACACACACACACACACACACACACACACAAACACACACGACAGCAATCTTGCTGGTCTCTGAAATTTGTCTGGGACTCTCTACCACTTGAATTAAGCATCATCTCACCAGATTTCCAGGTCACATTGGTCCATAAATGTCCTGGACTGTATCTATGCGACAGCTATGAGAATTTGGCAAGTCATTTGAAATAAGCGATCACTAAGTATCAGGTCCAGCTCTATGGTATATAATTATACATGACAATAAAGCCCCAAGAACTTATGATAAATCAAATGAAGTTTATTTTAAAGCACGCAGATAGTCTTATTTCTTCATGTGCTGGTATCTCAGAGTACAATGAGGGCCCCGTTATTTCAGCATTGATTTATGTGTGCGGTATCTTGGGCACAAATAGCCCATGTAGAGTTTAGAAGATAAAAATCCTTTATGCTAGATCCTGTATACTAGACTCCTAAGAGGGAATTGTTAAATGCTTCAGTTTATTTAAATAAATGCTACAAAGAGAGACTCCAGAATAACCTGAAAATATATCTGCAATGGTATGAAATGGACATTAGCATACATATTTTTTCTAAAAATCATCAATTACCCTAGTTTGGCTTTTCAACCCCTGCTCCAGAAGACAGAAGTGTGACAACTTGAGCAGGACAGTGTCAAAGAGTTGCTCATTGTCATTACCATTCCTTTCCTACCTCAAGCCTTTGTCACCTCGCGAAGGCGGGTGTTTTATCCAGTGTGAAATGATGGAAACTTCAGCTTTATGATATTATCACAGATCTGCCTACATAAAAAAGAGTAATGAAGTCATTTGGCTTACATTCTTGATATCGTTTGTATTGCTTCTGTGCAGGGTTGAGTGAAGCAGTTTCTATAGCTGCTGTAAGCAATAAGCCTCCACATGTTAAATGCTGACTCAACATAAGCATGTCTGCGAAGAAGATGATTAACTTGAAGAGAAGCTGGTGTCAGCAAGAAGAAATACAACCACACATTCAGAAGGAAAATAGAGTATTCATATATGGAGGAATGTGGAAAAATATAGTATTCTTCATAAGCCATTGCAAATAGATAAAGTATACTTGGGTTAGATGGAAATAAATGTATCCTCTCCCTCTGTCATTGGCACTGGAGATTTTGTACTCCACCATTTTTCCTTGGTTCCATCAACTAGTGATCCATTTTGCTTCAGATGGTTCATATAAACCAGTTAGTCCTTGACAATTCTGGATTCTAGGTGCTGTAGGTATTTGTTGGTAAAGTTTCCGAGTTAGCCCACTCAGGTTAAAGGAAGGGTTTAACAGTTGATGGCAGGGGAAAAGATTTCTCCTTTTTTTTTTTTTTTTAAACATTTCTCTTTCTCTGCTGAATTTCATCATGGACACAGCCATCTTGCTGCTGGCTATTACAATCAGCCAACTTAAGGTCATAAAGGAAACTAGACTCAGGAGGACAGTCATGCTGAGGACATCAGGGCAGAGGGAAAGTATCTGGGTCCTTGAAGATGTTAATGAGTGACTGACTGT